GGCCCATCCAGTCCAACACTCTTGTGTCACACAGTGGCCAAAACCCAGGGGCCATCAGGAGGTCCACTAGTAGGGCCATAAGTACATAACAGAAACAGATTACCTCAACTCATCCACTATCTGCTTCTCTTCTGTTCTTATGGCCCCACTGGTGGACCTCCTAATGGCCCCTGGGTTTTGGCCACTATGTTACACAGAGTGTTGGGCTGGATGGGCCATTGGCCTGATCTAACATGATTTATCTTCTGTTCTTATGGCCACACTGGTGGACCTCCTGACGGCCCCTGGGTTTTGGCCACTGTGTGACTCAGAGTGTTGGACTGGATGGGCCATTGGCCTGATCTAACATGATTTATCTTCTGTTCTTATGGCCACACTGGTGGACCTCCTGACGGCCCCTGGGTTTTGGCCACTGTGTGACTCAGAGTGTTGGACTGGATGGGCCATTGGGCCAATCCAACATGGTTTCTCTTCTGTTCTTTGGCCCCGCTCGTGGACCTCCTATTGGCCCCTGGGTTTTGGCCACTAAGTTACACGGAGTGTTGGGCTGGATGGGCCATTGGCCTGATCTAACATGGTTTCTCTTCTGTTCTTATGGCCCCACTGGTGGACCTCCTGATGGCACCTGGGTTTTGGCCACCGTGTGAGACAGAGTGTTGGACTGGATGGGCCATTGGCCTGATCCAACATGGTTTCTCTTCTGTCCTTATGGCCCCACTGGTGAACCTCCTGATGGCACCTGGGTTTTGGCCACCATGTGAGACAGAGTGTTGGACTGGGTGGGCCATTGGCCTGATCCAGCATGACTTCTCTTATGCCCTTATAGATGGAACACTCTGTCTGGTGCAGTGATGCTCTGCATTCTTGGTGCTTGAGGGGCCACGGTGGGAGGGCTTCTGGAGTTCTGGCCCCACTGGGTCACTCCGCAGAAGCCGGCAATAGCAGATTACCTCGACTCATCTATAGTCTTGAAAACCCTACTAGGAGGTCACACTTTCCACCACCACCATGAAACGTGAGCCGTGGCAGTCAGCCTTGTCTTCTCCCCTGCAGGTCCCGTCAACGGGCGATACAGTTGCCCAGCCCTGTTCATCAATCACCGCTGCTTCTCGGGACCCCATTTGAACAAAGGAAGATTGGCGGAGCTACCTCAGTCCGTTGGGCCTGGCAAGTGTGTCCTCGTTCTTAAAGAGGTAAGGACCGTTGAACGTGGAGGTGACCAACAGGCAGTGGACTTTTCCTCCAGGTAGTCTAGAACGTGGGGGCAGTAGTGAGGTCCGTGCACTGGCCCTTCCATAAGGAGGTTACTGGCCCAGAGACCCTTGACTTGGTGAAGAGAGAAACTGGGGAAAAAAGTATTCAAGAGTCCCTTCCCAGTGGTGGCCACGCTACAGGTGACAGGTGCAGGCCCTCCCAACAACTGGATTGAGACCTGAACTTCATAACGACGCCGCATGGGTGGGAGGAATGCACCATTTTCAAGGTGTCGGTGTTAACCTTTAGAGCCCTTAATGGTCTGAGACCCTTTAACCTACAGGACCACCCTTCCCGTTAGACCACACACACACACACACTCCCTTTGGTCATAATCTAGGGGCCACTTGGAGGTGCCTGGCTCCAGGATGGCTCAGTTAGCTGTCACCAGGGGAAGAGCCTTCTCTGTTGTGGCCCCTCACTCTATGGAATGCGCTCTCAGATGACACCCGTGCCCTGCCAGACTTGTTTAGTTTCCACAGAGCATGCAAAGCTGAATCGTTTAGGTTGGCCTTTGAAGGTTAACCACATGTTCGGGTCGTTTTAATAGTGGTATTATGATAGCCACACATTTTAATAGTTAAATGTGTTGTTTGTTGTTTTTATCCTATTGGCTTTAATGTTGTAAGTCGCCATGAGACCCTTCGGGTGAGCAGCAAATAATAAAAAAAATCTAATGAATAAATCTCGGTAGTGTGGACAGAGAGAATGAGTGTATGTATGTGATGCAGTGGTTAGAATGGTTAGGACCTAGGCGGCTTGGGTTCAGATCACTACTCAGCCATGAAATTAACTAAGTTATCTTGGGCCCACTCCACACAGTTTCAGCCTTACAGGGTTGTTGTGAGGTCAAAATGGGGAGAAGACAGTGGTTAGGAGTGCGGACTCTAATCCAGGAGAACCGAGTTTGGTTCCTCACTCCTCCACATGGATCCAGCTGGGTGACCTGGGGTCAGTCACAGTTCTCTCAGAGCTGTTTTCTCAGAGCTCTCTCAGCCCCACCTAC